GGGAGAAAGATGAGGCTTTCTACTCCCGTAAAGATTTACACCCTCGGAAACCCTGTACAGGGTTGCTATGGGTCGGAACCGACTCGACAGCACTTAACAACAACAACAATGCTACCAGGACTCCTTACAAGAGACTCTTTCCTTTAAAAAAAAAAAAAAAGTCAAGCTAACAAATGAAAAAACTCTACTCTCTAATGCAGTGGTTCTCAAATTTGTGCTGTATATATCAGAAGCATCAGCATCATTAGGGAGTTTTCTTAGAAATACAAAATCTCAGGCCCCATCCTAAACTGTCTGAATCAGAAACTCTGATGGTGGGGCTAAGCAATCTGTGTCCCTACAAGGCCTCCAAGTGATTTTGATTCATGCCAAAATCTGAGCATAATGTTTGGAACTAAATAAGTTATCACCTTTGAATAATCTTATTTTTCAAAGATACAGACATCTGTGTTTCTCTGTTCACGCCATACTGTAATCACTCCTGTGCAACCCACTCCAAAATGAGATGATAGCAAATACATTCCATTTCGTGCCTTCAGCTTTTGCTAGGTCCACCGTTTATACATCCAAGCATTTATTGAATCTGTCCTGTCTCTTACAACTGATCAAGCAGATCCCTGCAAATTCCTGGCCTGTGTCAAATTTGTCAGTGTGCAATGAATGAGTGGACCAAAGAAGCAGAGTGTCACTGCAGATCTGGATATGAGAGGCAGAAGGGCCTATATCACCTGGACCCAGGCTTCTGTGACCCCAAAGAGGAAGTGAGGTCATTGATCATTCATGAAAACAGAGCCATATGCAATGCAGTTAGGTCAAGAATGTGGTGGTGGTGTGCTAGGGAAATGGTTCTGACTCATAGTGACCCTGTTTAGGGTTTCCAAGACTGTAAATCTTTATGGGCACAGAAAGCCTCATCTTTCTCCCATGGAGAAGCTAGTAGATTCAAACTGCTGACCTTATGGTTAGCAGTCCAACTCACAGCCCACTGTGCTACCAGAGCTCCTTACACTAACCTTGTTGTTGTTAAATGCTAACCTTACAGACCCAAAAATTAATTGCTCTGAGAAATGCATTATCAGTCCTTTAAACCCATGGTTCTCACCCTGAAACCAGAACTAGAGAGTACCCAGCTACTACTATCAAGTGCTCTGATAGAAGTCACATTCTGTGGTCCTAGATAGAGTAGAAGAAAATGTGGAACCAAAACTGAAAATCATAAAAGAGACCAGGTTTGCTGAGTGGCTAGAGACTGATGGAACCCCAGAGACTATGACTCTTAGTCATCCTTCAGGCCTGAAACTGAACTCATGCCTATGGCTCAATTTTCAGCCAACAATAGACATTTGTATAAGAGGAACAATAGCACTAGTGAGGTAAGCACACTTTGGAATAATCAACCAATTGAGATTTTTGTCTTTTAAAGGGAGCATTTACCTAAAGACAAAGTGTTGAAGAATTAAAAAAGAAGAAAAAATAGAAATAGGAAAAGAAGGAAGTAGAATAAGTGATGTTACATTAATTAGATGTAATCAATTAACTGAAGCAAAATATATATAAATTATTGAATGTAAAACTGATCATCTGCTCTGTAAACCTTCACTCAATTCACAATAAAAAGTTTTCAAAATAAAAACAAATAAACAAAAACCCATGGTCCTCAAACGTCAGTGCACGTTAGAATAATCCAGAGGAGATAGTGATGGTGTGCAGTCACGTCTGTATCAACTCATGGAGGCACTATGAAAGGTTTTCAAGGCTGTAAATCTTGCAGGTTCTGCACCATGAACCATCAGAAGCCTTCTGCTGAGCCTTTCTATAGTCCGAACTCAGAATGATGCCAGCTTTTCCAATCTTGATCTAATCACACACTGACGTTTTCCTCAGTGCTGCTCCCCTTAGACTCGTGTTATTATCAGATCACTTGGCTTTATTTGGTTGCTTGTCTGTACTGTCTCTTTGCTCATTCTCGTGGCTACAGTTTCTAATATCCTACAGGGGGGGGGGGGGGGGTTGTGACCATCCACTTTTACAGTCAGTCAGCAAGAAACAAGAGAGATTTAGCCTCTTTATAAAGTGTTACCACTTCAAAGCTAATTACCACATGATGGTTAAGAGGCAATGTACTGAAGTCCAGACAAATTGTGATTAAATTTTTGCTCAGCAAATTGCTAATTAAGTGGTTTTGGACAAATTACTTAACTTCTCTAAACCTCAATTTCCTTATTTGATAATGAGGGTAATACAACCAACTCATTGGGTTACTGCAAGGGATATAGGAAATGATGTTTATGAAGCACATTTACAATGAACATAGGAGATAGAATATCAACTCAGGAAAGTAAATATGATCATGATATAAATTTCACCCAAATTAATTCCAATTAAATCCCAACAGGATTCTGTATAGAATCTGATATTCTGTTTCTAAAGAGCCTCTGGAAATGACAATGTAAGAAATGTATGTGTAGCAAGCACTTCAATTCAGTGGGAAATATAAGGACTAGTCAGTAATCATTGGAGATAGAATTGGTCTTCCTTTTAAAGAAAAGTAAAATTTGTTCCTTTCCACACACAAGTCAATTTTACATCAAAGATCCACATAAAATCAAAACAATGTATGACAAAAAATGTTTTTTAAATATTTCTATAATGGACTATACATTGAAAGTGCAAGAGAGTAGATTTGACTCAATGGAAGCTTAAATAAGTAAACATGAGGATAAACATCTCAATCCTGGTAAGCAAGAAGAACAATCAGAAAAAAAAGAATGAAAAAAATCTGAAGATTCATGTGGGACAACATGAAGTGGAATACTTTACAGGTGATTGGGTTCCAAACAGGCAAGTGAAGCACAGAAAAGACAGTCAAAGAGCTATTTGAAGATAATTTCCCTAACTTCATGAAAGATGAGAGCATAAGTAAAACTGAACAAACCCCAAACAGGATAGATCCCAAAAGAAAATACCAAGACATATAATCATCAAACCTTTAAAACTCAAAGACAAGGAAAGAATCCTGAGAGTAGCTCGGGAAAAAAGAAAACTTACCTACAAAGAAGAACCAATTAGATTAAGCTCTGCAGAAACCAGACAGCCAAGGCAATGAGGAGACATGTACAAAACTCTCAAAGAAAAAAATTGCCAGCCAAGAATTATACACCCAGCAAAACCTCCTACAAATTGATGACAAAATTAGAACATTTCCAGATAAGCAAAAATTAATGGAATTTGTAACAGCCAGGCAAACCTGACAAAAACTATGAGAAACAATCCTTCATACTGAGAACGCACAGCACAGCCAACAATCTGAAACGGCATACATGGCAACACGACCCAGAAGTCAATCCAGCTATAGATGCATCCAAAGTGAAACAAACATGTTTTTGATAAGTGCTGTCAAGTCGGTTTGGACCCATAGTGACCCTGTATAGGGATTCCGAGGAGTGGCTGGTGGGTTTGAACCACCGACCTTATAGTTCAAACTGACTTTGCAGTCCAGTGCATTATCCTATGGCACCACACCGGGACTCCAAAACACACGTACAAAGGGAAAACCACAAAAAGTTAGTAAACTTGCAGACAAAAGCAAAGAAAAACTGACCAAGAAAACAAAATAAACTCAGCAAAGAAAATTATATGGAACAAAGAAACTAGCAGTACCACATAAACACATACACACAAAAAAAACAGGAAAATGACTGCAATTACTTCATACCTATCAATAATGACACTGAATGTTAATGGAATAAATAAGCCAGTCAAGAGGCAGAGAGTAGCAGAATAGATTAAAAAAAAAAAAAAAAAAAAATCCAACAATATGCTATCTATAAGAGATATCCTTAGACACAAAGACAAAAATAGATTAAAAATCAAAGGATGGAAACAAATATATCCAGTGAACAAAAATAAAAAAACAAGCAGGAGTGTTGTTGTTGTTGTTAGGTGCCATCAAGTCAGTACCACCTCATAGTGACCCTACAAACAACAGAATGAAACACTGCCTGGTCCTACACAAACATCACAATCATTCTACATTTGAGCCCATTGCTACTACGATTGTAACAATTCATCTCGTTGGGGGTCTTCCTCTTTTACTCCAACCCTCCACTTTGCCAAACATGATATCCTTCTCCAGTGACTGGTCCCTCCTGACAATATGTCCCATGGTACGAGCGACGATGAACTGACTTCTAAGAAGCACTCTGGCTATACTTCTTCCAACACAGAATGATTTATTCTTTTGGCACTCTGTGAGGCTTTTAATATTCTCCTCCAACACCATAACTCAAATGCATCAATTCTTCTATTATCTTCCTTATTCACTGTCCAACTTTCACATACATATTGAAAATACCATGGCTTGGGTCAGGTGCTTGAAGACGTCTTGTGCCTCAGATTTGCCTAATGATATATGTCATTTGATTTCTTGACTGTTGCTTCCATGAGTGTTGATGGTGGATTTGAGCGAAATGAAATCTTCAATCTTTTTTCCATTTCTGTGGATTTCATTTCCACCACTTGTTGAATATAAGAAAGAACTAGATGCAGGGACAGTTGAGGACATGGACTCTGGACGTAAGCCACCAGGCAAACCTGTGTGAAAAGGAAGCAAACTTCCTTATACGTCTTAGAGTCCTTCTTGACCTAACAGAATATAAACAAGAATAGGTTCGAGACATGTACCAAATATTTACTGACTTACTGAGAATTTTTAGCTACAACAAAATAGTGTAAGGAATGCACAGATGTTAGCAGTGTAACTACAAGCAGGCAATGCTTTGATTGTTATCTCAAAACATGTATAAAAGGCCATGGAAGCTAAAAATAAAGTGCTGCTCTTGCCAGACGAGGCAGCCTCCTGTTCTCCTTCGCACTCCCCAGGCTCCCTGGTTCATTAGAACCACTCATCTGTCAGTTTGCCGTGCTGTGCTTTCTGTGATAGGATAATATCCATGCACCTACAGGGAAGACCAGTTAATACCACTATTATTCAAATTTACACACCAACCACTAAAGCCACTGAGGATGAAATAGAAGAATTCTACCAATTTCTTCAATCTGAAATTGATCAAACATGCAATCAAGATGAATTGATCATTACTAGTGATTGGAATGCAAAGGTTGGAGGCAAAGAGGAAGGATCAGTAGTTGGAAAATATGTCCTTGGTGATAGAAATGATGCTGGAGATCACATAATAGAATTCTGCAAGACCAATGATTCATTCATTTCAAATACCTTCGTTAGACAGCATAAGAGACGATTATACACATGGGCCTCACCAGATGGAACACACAGAAATCAAATTGAGTATATCTTTGGAAAGAGACAATGGAAAAGCTCCATATCATCAGCCAAAATAAGGAACAGACCATCAATTGCTCATATGCAAATTCAAACTGAAGCTGAAGAAATTGAAAACAAGTCCACGAGAGACAAAATATTACCTTGAATACATCCAAAGAACAGATTTCATTCTTAAACACTAAAGAGTGAAGACCAGAAGAGTTGTGGGATGACATCAAGAACATCATACATGAAGAAAGTAAAAAGTCATTAAGAAAACAAGAAAGAAGGAAAAGTTCAAAATAGATGTCAGAAGAGACTCTGAAACTTGCTCTCCAGTGTAGAGATGCTAAAGCAAATGGAAGAAATGAGGAGGTACAAGAGCTCAACCAAAAATTTTAAAGGTCAGCTTGAGAAGACAAAGTCAAATACTACAACAAAATGTGCAAAGATCTGGAGTCAGAAAAGCAAAAGGGAAGAACACGCTCAGCATTTCTCAAGCTGGAGGAGCTGAAGAAAAAATTCAAGCCTCCACTTTAATTACTGAAGTTATTGGACAAGTTATTGAATGATGCAGAAAGCATCAAAAGAAGATGGAAGAAATACACAGTCACTGTACCAAAGGAAATAGTTAATGTTCAACCGTTTCAAGAGGTAGCATATGGCCGTAACAGCTACTGAAGACGGAGATGTCTGGAGATACCAGCCGGTAGGACAATCCGGGAGGTTTCGGATCAGACCCCACAAGGTGGATGGAGCCTCGAAGAGGCCAGATCCCAGGCCTCCAAGACAACTTTTTGTCAACTGCTTCATGTTCCAAGGCACACGACCCCAATCATGCTCCTAAAGATGACTCTCCTTCCTTGTTGCCAAGGAAGCCACATCAGATTTGGGCTCAAGACCTTTTGGACAGTTGAAAATTGTTGTCTTCCAACGTGGGGCAGAAAAACTGCAGTACCAGAGAAATGGACGAGACTGTTGCCGAGTTTATCAAGAGGATTGTCTTGAAAATCCCAATGACCGAAATGATGACAATCCTAAAGACATGGGACTTTTTGTCTGAACATCCAACTGCAGACCATAAACGTCCGGCAGCGAAAGGAACCCTTTATGCACGACTTGGTTCTACTCTGTGAGGAGAAGTGTGCAATGACACGGCCCTTTTAGGCATCATTTATAATCAAGTTTATCGGCACCAGAAACTTTGGGATGTTTTTAAGATGAGTGAAAAAACAGGTAGAGACCCTGACCCTTTTGATGAGGATCACTTTAAATGTTCATTTACGAAAGTTCTTTGGAAAGCATTAAAAAAATGTGACAGTCAGCTTGAGAGATGGTGAGGAGAATGCAGTGTGGATTCGAATTGGCCTGGGGAACACACTGTATGAAATCAAACCAGTGCAAAGCTACTTACATGGTGTATTATCCTCAGACTCCCTATGGATTCATCTCGTTCTCCAGGCTGAAGAGGAATTTACTCCTCCTGAGTCAGGCACTGACAGTGGCCACCAAATACCATCAGATTGTGAAAGTGAACTTCCGGAGCTACTATCTGGACTCTGAAGGCTATTGTTTTTAACAGTATAATCAGGTCTTTGAAACTCATAATTCTACTTCACCTCTACAGGAAAGAAGCCTGTGGCTCAATACAAATATGGATTTCAGGATCATTCATGAAAACCAACTCGAAAAGGAGGAAAGAAAAGAAAAAAGGGAGGAAAGACGAGACAGAAGAATATAGGAAATAAAGGGAATGAGCTCCACCCTAATAAAGAATAAGAAGAGGGTTGCCTGTGGCAACTGTGAGCAGGATTCAGTTTTCATTTTAATCAGCCTTATCTGTTCTTTCATTGATTGTGTGAATCATTACAAACATAGATAACATTACAAAGAATGAGGATGCAAGAACATGTAATTGTGCTCATGGGGACCCTACACATAAATCAAGAGGTAGTCATTATTAAAGAACAAGGGGATATTAAATGGCTTAAAATTGGAAAAGGTATGTGCCAAAGTTGTATCCATTCACCATATTTATTCAACCTGTATGCTGAGCAAATAATCTGAGAAACTGGTTTATATGAAGAACAAGGCATCAGGACTGGAGAAAGATTCACTAGCAAGATTGCTTGTTGGGAGCAAAGAGGATTTGAAGCACTTATTGATGAAAATCAAAGACTATAGCCTTCAGTATGGATTGAATCTGTAAAGAAAATGAAAATCATCATGGAGAAAAGATTGAAGTTGTCAAAGGCTTCATGGAAGCAACAGTCAAAAAATCAAATGACGTATTGTATTAGACAAATCTGCTACAAAAGATATCTTTAAAGTGTTCAAGAGCAAAGGTATCAGTTTGAGGACTCAGGTGTGCCAGATCCAAGCCATGAAAGTTGGGCAATAAATAAGGAAGATTGCAGAAGAATCAATGCATTTGAACAATGATGTTGGGGAAGAACATTGAAAGTATGATGGACTGCCAGAACAACAAATCAATCTAACTTGGAGGGAGTACAGAGAGTACTTCTTAGAAGTGGGGATAGCTAGACTTCATCTCTCATACTTTGGATATGCTGACAGGAAAGGCCAGTCCCTGGAGAAAGACACGATGCTTAGTAAAGTGGAGGGTCAGCAAAAAGAAGAAAACCCCTAACGTGATGGATTGACACAATGGCAGCAAAAATGGGCTAAACAAAAAGATGGAGACAGCCAAAGTGCCCATCAACTGAAGAATGGATAAACAAACTGTGGTACATACACACAATGGAATATTATGCTACCTTGA